CCCTTATTTCATTAATGCTGATCGCCAGGTTGCTCAGTTCGAAGTCAGCTGTAACCTCGCTATCAGCCCTAAAATTGCTGAAAGCCTCGGACATAGTAACAGAGCACGTTCAGATACTTTACAAGTATAAAAATTTTACTCGTTTCAGCCCCTCGATAATGTCTTCACATCCGGTTCGAGTACCAATGAGCTTGCAATAAAAATGTCTTTTTATAATAATAGCCACTCACGGTTCTGGCAAATGATATCGCTAGCTAAGAAGGTCCCTATTATCTTCTTGTATCGTGCTGAATCAACAGTCCAATATATATATGAATCACGGGTATATCGCCCTATGACGGAGGTCGCTGTTGTGGAACATGTGAAAACGTCAAGCTTTCGTCGTTTGCGCCTTGCAGGACTAGCTTTTAAATTCGACAAATACCATAAGCAATTCGTTAATGATCTTGATTGGTCTGCCTAGCATCGAAGGCAAACCACGTGAAGCGCTAGCTGTCAGTAGATCGATCGTCTCAAACCGGTGAACAATGCAGGAAAAGGTTTGAGAGATATTGAGTGATATCACCCATTTCAAGGATCTTACACTATTGCCTCGTACGCCAAGTAACGCCCGTATCCCATACGTTTATTTACAGTGAATTCATATTACTTATAACAGGTGAATTTCCGATACAAGGAACATTTAGATCTGTCTTAAAACGAACGTGTTCAAAGCAGCGGACCTTTCCAGATTCTAACAATGACGTCTTCATCAAAGATTGTTCGAACACTGATCAGTGATGACCCGGATGTTCAAAGCGTAACCCTTTTAAATCCCCACTGAACTGCAGTGGTGAGCCCTTGGTTATCATTCAGTTTGTGATTCCTTTGCCCCTTTCTAAGTAACTATCGATCATGCTGTTTTTCAAGCTGGTTTCGCTTGTTGTATACCTGGCTTCGGTTAAATCAAGACAATAATTATTGCGTTGCATCCTATGTAACCGTAAATGTTTAAATATGTACCGTTGCAGTTATGCTTTCCGTACAGTGGGTAATGGGTGCTACTGTTACTCAAAAAAAAACCTGCTTTTGTTTGTAGTCGTGCTTTGTTCAATGTCAGGAAAAATTGTTTGTTAGTAACTTAAGTTGTTAAGTTACTTCTGTACAGATTCGTGTTTTCGTTACAGGGTACATATTACTTTATAACGTTTTGTAGTAGGTTGCCTAAAAGCTTCTAAATCTCTTTCATTACCCTAACTGCTCTATTAATGAAGCCATCGCACTCCGAACTTGGGTTGCACCTTCGTCGGTCCAAGTGGTCCGAGATCTACCTAAAGTAGCATTCGTTCCAACGTACCATAAACAAAATTACAATTTCACGATCCTTTGCGAGGAATTCTCCGGGCTTTGTTCCCATACACGTCAGTGTTCGCTCGGACATCACTTGCTCAGGTTCCTAGCAGAGTACATTGATGGGTATTCCCGCTATTACATTTTATCTCTTATCGAATAAATCAGAGATCTACGTTTTAGACCTCGCCGTCGACGTATATTACAAAACGTGTACGTTTTTTTTTTAATTACATTTGCTTTTTTTTTTTCATTTATTCCCTCCTTTTTAGAAAAGCAACTAGTGCGAAGTACTATTGAGCTTCATTTTCCACACCAACGCACTAGAAATTCCGCCATCTTGCGTCACTTTTACACTGTATTCATAACCCTCATGCTGTCTCTACGATCTCTTAATGAATTACTTGTTTGAGAGAATGATATGCGCTGCTATTCCCAACACTAGTATCTATATAAATACAAACCTTTATTAGCAACGCACACGTTTTCAGTTTACATTTACGTATGTTTCTCAACCATCAGAAACGTACAAGACAATCAGTAACGGCCTTCATTCATCTGAAGCACCCATGTAGACACACACCTGGTACCACTAGTGTAGTCAAAGAGTACTCGCCCATGCTGACTAACTAGCGTCGTAAATACTCGAAAAAACGGCCTAAGCACTTGTTTCAAACGCGATATCGAAGCTCCTTCCCCAATAAGGACACTCCGCTGCCATCAACTGAATTAAGGACGGCCATAATGTGAGATTTTTGCACCTAACTGTAAGACATTTAGTCCAAGAAATAGCTTTTGTCCGCTGATTACTAACTAATTTCGTCACAGGCAACGTGACGCTCATGTTACTCGTTTTTCAAGACTGTCCGTTAACTCATAAACAGAATAAAGCTTATTCGGCCAGATAACAACTGATCCATCAGGGATTTTTTGGCCGCGGCCATATTCGATGATGCTGTTCGGCATCTAGCTTCTCTAGCCCTAAGTCCGGTTAGCAGTTGCGTAGCTCTCTTTTAAACATCGACCGCATAAAGACATGTTGAACTCAGACGTTGAAGGTGGTCACAAGACATGACACTGGTCGTTCTCGGCCAGCTTATCTACCTTGGATGTGATCAAGTAAGTAGGTTGTGTAAAAATCATCCAAATCTAAATTGAAAACAAAGTAGCAATAAAACAGCTTTTTATTTGCAAAAAAAAATAACAGCAAAACGCACGCTTCGTCACTTTTGTAGGATCGAGACTTTTCAATCTGTGTTTCATTAACAACGGACTCACCTACGGTTCGTGTCAATCGTTCCCCCACAGATCCAACAAGCTACACGTAAACTGACGACCGTGAATTGAGCTGAAACACTTTAAAACACTTCGCATTGGGTTTTTCCTAATCATATACCCCTTTTCTTGACCACCGAAAGAAGACTAGTCGCAGATAATCCGTGTAAGAGTTTAGCGGACATAAGCGTCTGTGGTACAGAACTGTGGCAAGCTCTCTGTGCGCCGTTGACCCAATCAACGATCAGCTCATATCTCTTTTGCGGAACATGCTTTTATGATTAATGCAGGAATCGTGCCACACCCACCATATCATCTGCAACTTTATGCTAGCACACTAGAGTAACAAAAAAAACATCGTTCAGTAAGAAGTCCTTTGGGACGTGTATGTTCAAAATTAGGCGTATTCTGCGAAAGGACTACTCCCCGTGACCCACCATTAACGCTAACGTCCGAGTCAAAGGCACGTCCAAGTGATCGGCTTCTGCTCTATCATGACAGCTGTCAGCCAAGTGAAAGTTCCAAATTACAAAACGTTTTCAATAAAGCAACGTAGCTCAGGGCGCTGTCAAAATTAGGCCAGACAGAGTCTAACAGACGGCTAACAACAAAATGTGATTGGTATAGACCAATTTCAATTACTTCGATAGGACCACATAACTTTGCTTCATTATCATAAATCACTAACGGTCAGTCTATTTTTTCAGAATTATTGCATCTACGACACAGCCATTTGAGTATTGTACTAACCAATATCACAAATATATTAAGCACCAATTGTGTATAATATATTCTTCCGATCGTGTTCTTTTTTCTACAGTAAGTTCTTAATGACGATACTGAAGTCGAAGTGTGTAATCGGGTTCTTAAGGTATTGGTGCAATGTGACTATGGATATAACCCTTTCCAAAGGTCATTCGAAAGTGCGAGTAAGTAATGACAGATTATTAATAGATCGCGTATAGCAAAATGTCCTCTTCGTTTCGGAATACCTTTCTCCTCGAATGGGTGGTAATCCAAAATTGTCCTTCAAGCCTATAGCGCATTTTGTGGCATATCAAGTTCGACGGAAGTTGAAAGCGGTATTTCTGGGTTCCACGACCATGAGCCGTTGATCTCTGTGAGGGAACTATAAGGTTATGAACATCAAGCTGAGATATTTATTTTACTTAACTTCAGAAAAGAAAAGCTGACCACAGCTGCAAACGCAATTGTAAATCAGAGTAAAAGTGGCTGGAGTAAGCGAATTAAACGAAGGAAATCTACAGGTGACCTTGCTTAATATTTTGTCAAAGGCGTCGCGATCTGGAGCTTCAATCCCCACAATGTTTCTATTACGAATTTCACTTTTGAGTGACCAGCGCGAATTTAATAGTTAGCGATTAGGCAGCGGAAAACGATCCTTTTGCTTCATCTTGACAATAGCGGTAGGACGTGATCTAAATGTGGCGGGTTCGGCCTGTTCAGAGAGGCCCTATTTGCTACAGGAAGAAATATAGCACTATTTGTCCGCACTCTTTTTTCCAGCTGATACCTACAAAGGCGTCTTGAGAAATTGAATGTATACTTTTGTTTTTGACTATCAGATAGATCTGGTGATTTCAAAAAAATTAAAAAAAAAAAATTATAATTGCAATATCTATCATGAAATAAGAGAATAAACGTTTTACATCTCGTATATGTCGCAGGTGAGAAATAATGTGATTGTGAAATAAAAGCACATCATTGGCCTTGTTGAAAGAAACTTACTCTACGTACGTCGATATGAGAAAAGTTCTAATCAGTCGTGAATTGCGACAAAATCGTAGCAATTTCATGTGCCTAACTGCTCCAAGTGGGTATGGTTAGGTATGGAGAGCATTTTTTGCTGTTACTGCTAGAGAGTCATTTGATTCTACCACATAGAAACTACATGCAATGACAGCTGACTATCATGTATAGCATCTCGTGATGAGACCTGCTGCTGACTCTTCTATCAAGCATTACATTAAACGACAAACCTTGGTTTTTAATCCTTGGATAAATCATTAAAATTATTCCTTCCTAGCTACCTAAGCTGCTTTAAAAAACGTTTTTCTTTTTATACATCGCAGTTTTGGTTATGTTTTGCAGTCATTATAAAAAACAAAAGGCAATTCGAAACTTGCCCCAAAAATGTCGACCAGTTGGACTATCAGGTTAAAGGTCTCCAACCTCACTGACTTATCCGCCACATCGTACACTCTGCTACTAGACCCTTTCTCATTTTCTTGAGTGATCTCACTCTGATCCCTCGCCACGAAAATCCCTCTCTCAATGGTCATCGGACCTTCGGTGAGGGCTGTCCTGGGTGGGCTCTATCTGTATGAGCGCCCGCAATCAAGAAACTAAGTAAGCCGACTTTCTTTACAGGACAACAGCAAACAGCGTGTTGGCCTTAGGTATTATTTTGGCATAGCTACTAGTTGTCGCTGATAGATTGTAATCTTCCCACGCGCCATCGCTGTTAAAAGCGCCCGACGGTATGACATCGACGTGCAGCTTCGTTTCGCGCCCGTCAGTGTGTTTCTGTACGTAAACATATCGGATACAACTGATGCAAGCAGCGTAGAAGAATAGAAAGGAAAAGGCCGAGCGAAATAGATAAGGATCGTCGTCCTACAAGAGGAAAGTGCAAGATGAAAAGAAAAATGCACTTTAATGAAGTCAACTCAACCTGGAGACAGGAAAGGGAAAATGTTGGAGACTAGATGTTTAAGAATTGAAGACGTCAATGTGCCATGCTGGTGGCAGAACTTTGGGTGGGAGTTCTGCTGCCGTGTATTGGAAATGCATTTTGGCTGAAATTAGTATGCGTCCGTTGCATATGTGGAACATGATTATTGTCAAGCAAGGGCGGCCAGCGTCGTTGAAACACTGCCTGTAGACATTGGACAATGATATCGTCACTGAAGAAAAAGCACCTAGAAAAGGTCAAACTAGTTATGATGACTATTTAAAACAATTTGTCCTTAGGCAAACACGGCAGACAACAACTAATCACTACGAGAAGTACGCTTACCGGAGGGATCATAGCAAAATTCGCTTGATATTCGGTAGCCCTGTTGTGCGTTGTAGGTGGAAAAAGTGCGATACAAGCTTGTTTGTGGCTTTGAAGACAACGACAATAGCTATACATAGCGAAAGCAAAGATAGGAGTGTGTTTCTGCGCGAACGAATATAAACTATTATCATGGACATTCATCTACAGGCAACACCTAAAATAAGGTCAGTTAAGAGTGTTAGCATATTAGAACTGTTCCTCTGCGAACAATGGAAATACAATAGTAGTTGTTGCGCAGAGGCGGTGGCTACAAAAATTAGTCAGTAATGAAATCCCATATTTTTATCCACGCCGCGTTAAGCAAACCAACCTAAAGCTACGGTGCCATCGCTACGCTGGATAACTCTCTTCATCTGCTGACTTCCCGCAGACGCCCAAAAACTATTGACAACTCTTCCCAATCCCATTTGTCGACGAAGTGTCGTTTAGATGTATACAAATTTATATTGTATCGCAGCTGTTCCTATTTCTCACTGTGTCTCCTCCCGAGCCCTTCTCCTGGCAGTGTATGGACAACCTTTTGACAAATGATCCTGACTCTTGAAAACCATTCTCAGCGCCACTGGACCCTTACTTGGTAAGTCGCTCCACGTCATTACAAGCTAACGACAAAAGATCTCTACGATTCTCAGAAAAGACGCAAACCTGGCACTAATAAAGACGGCTTGAATGCCGTTTACTTGATCAAATGGATAATATCACTATGAAAGTTTATTAAGTACCTATATATATATATATATATATATATATATATATATATATATATATATACTTTATGTGTGTAGTGTGTGTTTTAGCAATATGTATTATAACATACGAAAAGTAACTTTGTTTTACTTGTCACTGCGCGGATTCAGTGCTTAGGTTGCGAATGAAAGATGGGCGACCCATTAAAAGTGCCGGTACCCGCGTTTCGACTAATTCATAGGTTTCGGACCATGGCTGCAGTTACAAATGGAGACCCGTTCCAAGGCACTATTCGGAAGAATAAAGCTTGAAAATTTTAAAGTTTTTCAATTCCCACCATCGGAAGCTAGCACTCAATAATTACTTAACGTGGAACAGTTACCCCAGAAAGGTGCAAATGCATTTGATGGAACTCACGACATCCAGTGGGCAGTTGACGACTGTACTATTAGCAGTTACTATAACTTTTAGTCACAACTAACTTTCAGAGGTTGGAAGTGAAAGACCCTCACAGTTTGTATTTAGCGCGAGCTATAGCGAGAAACAACGACTGCAGTCAGCATTGCGGACCTTTCTCGCAGTACACCTTTCCTATAGGCCTCTTCAAATCATACTTTCCGCGTGTGAGACATGTGTGGTCTCCAATGGCCAATATACTAAAAACGTCCATGCTGAGCATATGCGTCTGTAAACCAAGCGGTAATACGGTTCCAACAGCAAAGATCTGCGTCTGAGCCTGAACCGCTTGCCACTAAAGATGAACACAGCATCTTCATCTGTGATCATTATCTTCAGCAGGGCGACATCTTGACGATAACGCCTGTACACGCAACCATGTTAGATAAACCTGTGAACAGCTTATATCTGTAAGTGCCTACGTCTGTATATGTATTCTAAGAAGTGATATGCATTGCGTACGCGGCCACTCGTGTTCAGACTTTCTTTTTCACTAATCCAAATTATTCCAAGCTTCTTTGTTTAACCTAATGGCTTCGTTCTAAAGTGTTTTTTTTAGGTTGACAGTGGACGTCGTCGCGAAAACACAACTGCCCTGGACCTTAGCAAAAAATCCTTGACACAGGAAAATGAGAAACACAGCTTACTTATGGCTTAAATCAGTATTTGGATTAACAGGTGTCAGTAACCGTACATATAGAAATGATAATCTATTACTCCTGACAATCTTTATGTAATCAAGATAATATTAAGATATTTACGTTTGTAAAAAGCAGTGTGGCTAACAGCATGCCATTACTCTTGCCACACGTGGGCGAAAAGTCGTTATACCGGAGTTGCGACACTTGTTACGTTATTTTTATTGAATTCAAGACTACACTAAATTTAGGTATCAAAACGTTTTATCGTTCGGTATAACTTCTGCTGACACGTGTTCAAGTGAGAACGGCCGAAGGCCTGCGTTCCTACAGTGCCAAAGAGGTCATAGTATCGAGGAAAGCTTTGGTCGTAGACATGGTTCGTTGTAACCGCTCCAAAGGTAGAATGAATAATATATAACATATAATAATAAAAGTAGAATCTATAATATATAAACGTATAATTGCATAATCCGTGTGGATAATTTCTATATCCACGCAGATTATGCAATTATACGTTTTAGCGGAACCTTACACAGAAATTGCTAGTGAGTTGCTGTCAAATCAGTACAGCTTTGACGTTTTAGAGATTTAATTGAAAATTCTTGTCATCCACGAATATTCGGAGTGCTTATATTCGTTCAAGGATGATTGTTTTGTGGATATTATAATAAGTTAAATGTATTTTTAGCACCTCTATTAAGTTTCTTTTCGCCGCTATGTGATAGCATTATAAGTTATTAACACAATTTTTCTTGCCTAACTGTTTCTTGGCTTTCACACCGGGCGGAGGGGGGGGGGGGGCGTCGGCAACAATGGCGGCGATACTTGCATGCATAATCGGAATCGGAAAACACCCGCGGAACGTTCGGGACACGCGAAACGTTTACTGATAAGTTAAAATATATACTGGTGTAATTTTGAAACTTACCATACGAACTAATGAACCAACACTCGTACGTCATTGGAAAAGCTTCCGAACAGACAAACCAAAGGAGCATACGTTATTATTATCATTGTTACTACTTTAGATTTTTGGGCACTTTAGCGCTTATTTTTATACACATACAAAGTGGAAAAGATATAAGCGAGATTTTTTATTTTTGTAGTATAAGTTTAAAACCGCGGCCATGAGGCTAGCGATCAACTCAAAAAGGCGCTGAAGCGCTCAAAATAGATCAACTTCTGTTCGAATTGTACGAAGGGCAACGCTCATGACGGTAACAGCAATTTCAGTCGGTTTCTCTTGTGGTTTCTTATGAACATTGAGTGTAGACAAGTCTCAGTGGCTCACTGGGATGCTGCAGGTCTATTAGACAAAATCAGCTAATTTTTGTTCATATCAGAAGCAAGTAATATAAGTTTCAAGCATCCCCTGATCTTCACTGAGCCGTTTCCGTATGTAACCAAAGCTCTTAATTGAATAGAGTCGACATTATGGTATTGAGATGTTTCTCTGAGATTAAGAACGTATGCCTGTAAGAAGAAAGGCCTGGTTGAACTACTAGAGTGAATCGTGTTGGTTACGTGAACGGCCGGCAACTGCCCCAGGGAGCTAATCCAACTTTGTTCAACTTAGAAATGAGAATATTGACGAAGTTATTTGACGTGCATGACTCGTTCGGAATAAAACTAATGCTTGCGATGATCCCTGAGACGGTCCCCGAAGTATTTAAAAGTAAAGTTTTTCTAGCTGTGAACTTGAGGAATTCTCATAGCTATCCCCGAAACGAAATGCAAAATATTTCTTTCTATAAAACTTTTTTCAGAACAATGTCTTATATAATTTTATTCAATTTACAAATACTTCCGGTAATAATAATCTCATTATAATAATAATCAATAACATTGTCAATATGTATATATGAAAGAAAATAAAAAATTATACGTTTAGGCAAAGTAATGATTTCAATATCAAAAAAAAAAAAAAAAAAGAACGAAAATTAGCAGTAATCTTGAATAATACAAACTGAACTATAGAAAATCTTTTAAATTTGATAACTAAAGCTGAAAAATAAAATTATCGAAATTACAAGAGAGCTATTACAACTATCATATATAAATAGAAAAATAAATCCACCAATATACAAATATATACAAAAATAATCAAACGACATTCATAAAATATCAATATTAAGCTGTTATTTCAAATCCAAAATGGAACTTCCTAAAAAAACACTATTCCATGTATACCTGGCTACACTTAAATCACTATTTACTACTAGTTAACCTCAAAGGAACTAAAGTTATCTCCTTAAAGCAGACGATAACAAAATAACAGTATTTAATTTGAATCTCGACTCATGGTGATAAATTTCTATGAAAAAATGGTCGAAAAATTTAATAAGAAAGGAAATCTCCCTAGTGATAAATATAATCGTTTCTAATTTTACCTTTATCCTGTATACCTTGTGCTAATCATCACTGATAGAAATTCATAAAAACTACAAGAAATGTATGAAAAAAACAAATGACAAAACCAAATGAAAAAAACAAAATCAAACATAAACAAATGACTAGACTTTACTATACGATAGAAGTGCTAAATCGTTAAACTTCATTAATACAAAGTGTTAAAGTTATCTTTGAGTCACAACGACAGCTATTATATTAAACATACCATCACAGGAAATAGTAAAAATACACAAGGCAATATCTCTTTCTCTTAAGCCAGAAAATAGAGAGCATCCTGCAAATATATTTGCAGCCAATCATACAGTCAAAATTAAATTTTTTAACACTTTCAATTGAAACTATAGAAGAAGCAAAAAAAAAGTTCGCTCCTTTGAGATAACCTTTGACGCCTATGACCGTGCGCAATTCTTCTGTACGTAAATAAAAGTTAAGTTCCTTTTTCGCTAAATTATAGTTTATCGTATAAGATGTTGGGACCGGGGTACGGGCTTTTACCCGGACAAAATCTAATTACTTTCGATACATTAGATTAGTAATGTTGGGATATATATATATATATATATATATATATTTAATAGAATATTTGAACCGTGAATATGATGATGCAGTGGAAGCGTCCAATTAATTGCGGTCTCTAAACAAATCATGTATGAGGTATCGTTCATGAATTTACTTCACCTCTTTTTGTAGGATTACATTTAATCCAAACATCTTCGTATACATAACGAAGACATAGCATTTTCGATATCTTGTCTTCATGACTAATTCCCGTTCTTTACTGATACTAGTCATATTCGAATCATGGTCGAGAAAAGCGGACTTTGGAAAGGTTATACGGCACATAATTTTATTATCTCAGAGGGTGTTTGCACTCAGTGAGTTTGTGATGGCAACGAAGCCGATGTTAAAGCCCAACCTACATTTTCACCAGTCGACGATTTGGACGAGGGCAACGGGCTTACTACCCCGAGAGATGTTCTACAGTGCATAATAGAGAAAAATCTACGCAATAACAAACATTGTAAATCTCTTAAATCTTGCATTGATGAACCTTATGACAATATAGGCAGATGACGCTTATGATTGTACGAGGTCATTGATTGAAACAGTTCTACCAGATAACATTCAGAGCTTCTGACCACCGGGCGTAAAGTTCAACTTATAAAGTTAAGTGAAACTATTCAACTTATAAATTAACTAGAAACCAGAATTTGATGATTACGCAAGTCAGTTTCACGTGATCGCCACCAGCCGATCTGTGTGCCTTACAGACATAAGTAGAACACTTTATCTGCTACATTCGCTACTGATATATAAATATATGACACTAAGAAGCACTGGTTTTTCTCGAACTGTAATTATATAAATGTCATAATCGAGT